GTTTATTAGAATAAGCATGCTTGATGAACGAATCTATAAATTTAAATGGACACCAAATCTTTGATGATATTGTAGTGTATTGATTTCATAGATAATCTTCAATTATACACTTTTAGTGACTGACGAGAATGAATTCATGATTTTTTTCTCTCTTGAAACTGCAACGATTGAATGAATGAAATAAAGGTAGTTTTAACTGGATGCACAAATTAGTGCAATCATGGGCGATTTTTATCGATTTTTAACAATTGCGATCCTAGTCTTTCTAGATTTTTACCATATCATTGATTCTCACGGTGCCACCATGATCTCACACTTTCCCTATCTGTACATTAATAATCTTCTCCTAATCTGGTCTATGTAAATCTCTCCCCCCTAAACAAACTAATACCAAGTAAAATGAATTTCTGTTTCCAGGAAACAAGACACTCAATTGAAGATTCTTCCAGGTATATGATTACAATAGACTTTGACTTTGAATGTTACATGAATGAGTTCTAATTTCAAGATTTATTGTAATATTTTTATATTTTTATGAAGATTCTTGAGTGTGGAAACTGTTTTATAGACCTCAAAATTTTAATTTTTAATCAAAGATGCATATATTGCAACACTTACTGTTAAAGAACAAAGGTATATTCTTTTTTCCATTTTTCATTTTATTTTTCTTAGTTTTTTTATGTCATCTGGTCGATTATGTTGCAGCCTTTTATTATTTGTCTACTAGAGCATGAAATTGTACTCAATGGCATTGCTGATCAGCTTGGAATGACATGGTATGTCGAAATGATGATTTTTAAATATACGTACTTCATTTCCCTTTCCGCTAATTTTTTTGGAAAAAATATACATTTTTTACTACGTATTATGCTATTACACAGCTTAGAACAGATTACGCAGTGATTCATCATAAAAATATTTTTCTTGGTTGATTTCTATTTATTTTTTGAAAATAAAATGAAGAATTTGCTTGGAACATCATGGGTGAATGCACCTAAGAAATATTATAATGTCCAATAAACATTGGAGGACTTTATTTTACCCAACTACAACATTGTGCCTTTTTTTCCTTATTAAAGCATTTCTCTCTTAGTAACTACCCAATTATAACATTGTATTTCCATAATTTTACATCCAACAAATGGTTTGAGAGACATAACAATGGAATTTACAATCATGTCGTGATGTAAATGTTCAACCCAGTCACAAATATATTCAACATCTACATTATTTTGTATGTTTGTGTATTTTTTTTGGTTTTGTGAACAAATTATTATTTCAATTTTTTAACCATGACTTTAGAATAACCAGAAACCAAATTCCAAAGTAAGTTGTTGAGGAAGATCATATCAACATCCTTGAGAAAGGTATATAAAAGTAATTTAGGAGTCATAATTTTAAACATTATGAAATGACGTGTATACTCCTATGGTTTTATTAGATGCTTGAGAAAGTTGAATGATATTTAAATATCATAATTTGATGCAACCTTTTGATTAATACTATATTATTTGTATATTGTATGCTAATGACTTGGTTTTTCAAGTGAGTTTTAATTAAATTTACATGAGAATATGATCAATTAATTAAAGAATTTGATTTGTTGATTGTAGAAATCAATGGACAAAATATTTTTTTTACCTTAACTTGCCATTAGCTCAACCATGCACAATATCGTAATTTATTTTCGAATAATATTGATTCATAGAGATAAAAATATTGTTATAGAAAAGAGATTGTTTTACCATTATTTTGTAAAATGGTAATTTTTAAAAATGATATGCTTTTGAAAATTGATTTTAAAGATAATGTATTGAAATGCACAATTGCACATGTTTGATAAGTAATGGTTTTGAAATCTGAAATGATTTTTCGGAAAGGGACTTAATCTTTATATAAGTTTGCTTTTAGAAGAATGTAGGCTAATCTTTTTTATTTATTAACTATAATAATCATAATTTCAATAACATTATTTATTATTTATAACTAATTTATAAATTACTTTTAAATAAACATAAAAGCATATTATTCTAATGTGTTATACAAATTGTAACACCCCAATTCTGAGGTATTGTCTAAATACAAGTTTTAGGGTTAAGCCCTACTCGACGAGTCGGTGGATCTACTCGTCGAGTAGCAGTGGGAAGGATCGCGGGTTAAGTGACCTACTCGACGAGTCCATATTGGGACTCGACGAGTAGGAGCTGGCAGCTAAAACCCTAAATCCCGGGGTTGTGCACCCTATTTAAGGGAACACAAACCTCTTTCAGCCTCTTTGCAGTCTTTTATCAAACCCTAATACGTGTGTGTGTGTGTGTGCGCGCGCATTTTGTGTTTGAAGCCTTGGAAGGGATTTTGGTGAAAAGAGCTTAGGAAGCAAGTGGTTTGAAGCAAGGAGCTTGGGGGAATGCGGATCTACTCCATTTGTCATCTCTTGGGAAGGTATCAAGATGTTATCCTCTTTCTATTTCGTTCTAGACCTCCTTGGTTGGAGATTAGGGTTCTTGGTTGGATTATAAAGTCATTTTCTAGGGTATAAGCCAAGATCTGAAGTTGTAACTTCAGATCTAAACTCTCTGAGGATTAAGGGACCATAAAGTTATTAGTTTTAGCAAGTTTGAGCCCCTCCCTATGTGTAAAATCCCATTTCAAGCATAGTTTGGGCTTTTTGAGACATTAGAGCCTTGCATGCACTTAAAGTTTGCAACTTTACGTGATAAGCAGTCCTAAGGAGGTTGGATCTACAATTTGGGGCCTTGCCATGGCTTAAAAGTTGTCTGCATGATAAAATGACTTAATGAACTCGGCGAGTCGCACAATTGACTCGGCGAGTCACATGAAGATGGTTGTGAACTCGACGATGAGTTTTAACCAGGTCACGTTTGCATGTATGTCCGTCGAGTTCAAGGAGGGAACTCGACGAGTGGCCTTAAGGGTTGATCGAAGATTCGAAGAAACTCGACGAGTCACTCCGATGACTCGGCGAGTTGGAATGTGCTTCAGAGAACTCGGCGAGTACCCAAGTTTACTCGGCGAGTTAAGGTCAACATGGACTGTTGACCTTGATTGGGGACTTTGACTATGACCAGGGTTTAACTAGTGGTTTATGGAGCACCTTATAAAGTGAAGGACTTATGAGCATGTCATATTATGGTAATAGGTGGTGGAGTCTTTGACAAGTGATCGGAAAGCTTTGATTATTTACCGAGCTGACATCTTCGAGGTGAGTTATCCTCACTATACTAAGGGATCTAAGGCACCAAGGCCGGCCCATTGGATTTGATATCCCCGTAGTTATTGATATGATAATTTGAGTCAGTAATGTATGCCAGTTGATATGCTAGTCGGGTAGATCTGTAGGACTGCCTGTGACATTGATTGATTATCTGTATGTGTATTTATCTGTTACATGTCGACATGTTATGTGGAGTGGGTTGAGGATGTACTGCTCCTTGCGGTAGCCAACAAACCCGAGAGTATTCCAAATATAAGCTGAGGGCCCGGTAGACATTCCAGACTCATACTGAGGACTCGGGAGTATTCCAGATACGAGTTGAGGACCCGATATGCATTCCAAACTCGTACTGAGGGCTCGATGGCATTCCAGATATGAGCTGAGGGCTCGGTAGGCATTCCAGACTCGTACTGAGGGCCCGCGGGGGGGGGGGGGGGGTAATCCAGCTTGTAGAATTGTGGGCCCAGTGCATGTTGTTCTGTTTTATTGATATGATATGCTAATGTTGATATTGCTATGTGGATTGTATGTGTATCGGTATTTTTGGGGTAACTTACTAAGCTTTCGGGCTTACAGTTTCAGCTTATTGTTTCAGGTACATCAGAGGATCGCGGCAAGGCGAATGTGTGATCCTATTATACTTATGTTTTGGGGAAAAACTCTGATAATCAGTATTTTGAAAACAAAAGTTGTAATGTTTTGATGAACTTGATATGTTTAAAAAGTTTGAATTGGTTTCAAATTTTTGGATGTTACACAAATATTAGTTTTCAAAATTTGTGATTAATGCTTAACTATTATCTGATATTATTATTATTTTAATATTTTAACCGTCTAGAACACGAGCTATAACCTATTTTATACATACATATATATATATATATATATATATATATATATATATATATATATATATATATATATATATATATATATATATATTTGCCATTATTGTGAAATGAAGATTTCATGGAAAAAGATTATACCAATAGAATCTTATGAATCAATTTTGATAAAGATGGGAAGCTTGATATCATGGTTAGTAATGGTTAGTAAGATCTCGATCTTGATCTTAAGATTTTATAAATTTAAGATCATACAAGCTAAAATCAATTCCAATCTCATTAGGATTTGTATGAAACAAGATCTATAATGAGATCTTAAGATCCCGACTATGATTTTAAGATCTTAACATCATCCGATTCCACCTCTTTAGTTTTATTATATAGTCGAAAATGAAAAAAAAAATATTTGAAATTGCGCATTGCAAATTGTAAAAAGTATCACAGAGCATCATCACTTCATCAATTTATCAAGAATTAGACATGTTACACTCATGATATTCTATTTGTGATCTTAGATCTTAAAGTGTTAGATCATAATGATCTTGTTTCTTTTTGTATTAGAGATATTTTTTTTCTAATTTTTACAGGATGAATCAACAAAAATTATAATTCATATTTAAAAAGTTAAAGTTGGTTTTATATCGACATTTTAATCAACATCAAGAAATGATGTATACTCCACACCTAAGACCTTACGAGATAATTTGAATATGAGTTTATTTTGTAAGGATCTTCCGATTCCGATTCCGATCCAATCTTTAGATCACGATCTTACAACACACAAAACTACCTTAAGTAAGATCTCAATCTTCACAGACTTCCTTGATACGATACATAGATTTTATTTTGTTCGTTTTAATGATAACCCTTACAATCAATGAGTACTTGATATGATCCAATTTTAAGTGATCACTGTAATCCCTTGGTCTGTTTGATGGTTTTCATGTCCTTATTTGACCTGCTCATAGTATAACATAATCTTAAATAATGATTTTTTAACAAATGTTACATCTTGTTTTCCCTAAAAATCTAAAATGACAAACATGAAAACATAAATAAATGCATAATTACAAATACATACACTAGTCCTTCCAAAAAAAACCAAGCCTGCAAACTGTAACAGTAATAACAAAAATCAACTTCACACCACCCAACTCACATTCCCTCTTGAATTGGTAGCTTCCATGATTAATCATCATTCTCAAAAACGTTATTCATGCACAGCTTCGTATAATATCAAAAGACTTCACTGCTTCTTCCTCCTACGCTGTTTTGATTCCCTTTCGTTCACCCAAAACAAATTCTACATACAAATCCTTGAGAGCAATCACAACCGTCGTTATCAGTGGCCCCACTATCGCTCCCTACACAATCACACATCAAAAAAAAGTCATTAAAGATATCATGTCGAGTATCCATACACATATTATATACTTTCATGGTGTTTCTTATTCATTATTTACCTCCACCGCAGATGGAAAAATAGCAGCACCTCCGAAGATGCTAAGCCCAGTAAGATACGGATTATGACCAGGTATATGCTCTAGAATTTCACTATCACCATTATCAATCATCACAACATGAATAATAGGCAAAAAAATCGCCACTACGTATTTCCCTTCCATCACCAACTGTATAATCGCCGGAATTGTCGCCAAACAATATGGAAGCAACGGGAAGATAGGGCTCACGACTGCAAGTAAAGTCGACACATACAAGAAATGAATGTTGAAAAGTCTAAGCAAAAGACAAGTAAAACACCCCTGAAAGAAAGCAATCTCCGCCGTCGCTAAAAGTATGCCGGAAATTGCTTTGTCCAACACTTCAACACATCGTGTTCTTGCGTTCTTTGGGATCGGAAACATTAACATAACATGCTCAGTTACACCTTTCGAATCCGATGTTATGAGAGCGTATAAAACCCAGATGAAAACCATCGATTGTGAAAGAAAACAAAAAAGACCGGCTGCTCCGGTTACGATCGACTCGATAACCACGAACAAAAGCTTAGTGCTGCCTCCCAAAATCGATTGACCACTGGCTAAAACTCTTTGTAGAATGTCTTTCCCTTGAAAAGCAATTTCTTTTGCTTTTTCGATAATATCTTCTCTGCTGATTTGTACTTCTTTGAAGAGAGCATTGACTTCTGGATAAATTTCAGCCCATTCGCCATTTTTGACGTGTCTTCTCAAGTTTAGAATCTTTTCTGCAAATGGATTTGGTGTTGTTAGTGCAGTTGAAGTTACATTAGAATTTGTCGATTTTTCTGCCATTACGTTTTTCATTTCATCGACAATTTCTGTCATGTTGTATTCTGCTGCTAAACTATCAATCTGTTCGTAAACTGTTCCATAAAACTGGGTTGTGTACTTTGCTAACATCTCTCTAACATCGTTTTCAGCCATCCATTGTTTGACGCCAATTTTCTCTGCGTAATCGCTTTCTTCAACGCGTAGTTTGATCGAATAAACCGCGTCTCTCCCTTCAACTCCGATTTTATATGAGAAAAACATCGCTGCAACTAGAGAACCAACGATCATTCCCAATATCAATCCGATTGCTACGATGGTTTGTAATTTCTTCAAGATTCCTCTTGTTAGAAACGATGTGCGAGGTGTTCGTTTGAAGCTATAGCTTTTGAAAGACGAAACAACAGACATGCATTCGACATTGTAATTGGCCGTAAACATAAACCCTAATACTAACAGAGATGTAGCGCCAAGTCCACCAAATTGTTCGTAAGCCATAACGAAAACCCATAAAGACACCAATCGTCTGAACACAATCGAAAACCCACTTCGTTTACTCTTCGGAGGATTGAAGCTCCTCTTGTGACGACCGATTATTTTATAGAAAAGATCTTTGATTTCAACGATGGTTCCAATGAAAGCTCTGAACATGGATTTTGGTACGGCCATAATTGTATCTGGTATTCCTGACTCCAAGGGTTTGGTCCAAAATGAAACTAAGGTTTGTTGAATTCCTCGAAGAGGGATTGAACAGATAACAGCCCAAAGCAATGCTCGGAGATAATATTCGAGGATTTTACTTACACCGTAGAGAAGGAGAAGGGCGAAGGCGACGCCGGCGTGGGCCATGGCTATGTAGAGCGCCTGACGTATCTGAGGATCGTCGGTGAGGGAGGAACCTTCCATATCTGGGTCGCGTGGTGGCCGAGGCTTAGGATGGGATTCCGGATTGAGGGGGGATGCTGATCGTAACATTTGTTTCTACAGCGGTTAGGTGGAGGAGATTGGATGGTTTTTTTGGGTGGAAAGATGGAACAAGTCCCATTTATAGGATGTTTGAAAGAGAAAGCATTGGACGATGAACCTGAAACACAAGAGAATTTGGGAAAACTGAAGGATGAAACGGATGGTGGTGGTGTTATGCGGCCATAGCCATGCATGGAGATTGGAGCACACTACGAGGTAAGGTAAGGATCGATGGAGGATGCCCACGTGATTACAACCTACATTTGTTTATTATGATTTATTTATGACAGTTAAAAAAGAAAATCAAAATTTTCGATTTTTTACCACATCGTCCATTTTTTTTACTATACACACTAAATTATTGTATTTGTTTCGTTAAACTTTGTCTGTGATTATAATTATTAAATCTTATCATCAAAATTATTAAGGGTTACAAATAGATACATAATTGTACTTTGGCCTTAGGTTTTGTCAATTGGACTAGGAACACCACCTAATCGAATCCAACTTCACCATCTCGGCGTAGCAAACACCCTATCAAGACAGGGAGGATGCAAGATTTCATAGTAGGGGTTGCATGAGAAAGTCAGGTGTTGCACAGTAGTAGAAAAAAATAAAATTTTTGAAATTTTTTCCACTGTGGCCGGAAAAGTCAGGAGTTGTTGGTGCCACCATTTACACCCCTAGGTTCACCCCTATACCAAGAGGTGGTGGCATGTTTGCCACCCCTAGAGGTCCGTGTCGCATATGTCGGAGGTCATATATGATAAGTAGTCATTTTATCATCCGATGGAGACATGATTTGTAACAAGTGCCTTCACTTACCCCATTTGAATGAGATTCAGGGATCGTTGTCTTTGCCACTACACCATCTCGACATTCTCTCCTTGCCATTCTAGGGTTGGAATGATGAAGAAATTATGAAACCATGTCACATCTGTAGGGTTAATGTCACTATTGGGTAACAAACTTTTAAGATTTTTTTAAAATGGTACCTTATGTTTTTTTTTTATTGAATTTTAGGGGAACAAACTGCACTTTGTCGAGTTTAAAAGGTCACTATCAGAAATGTGACTGTGTAACTCGATAATTCGGATAACCTAACGGTCCAATATGGTCAACACAATAGGTCTATGTGATTGTTTAGTTGACGATAACTCTTTTATGATCTTCTTCCTAAATGGCCATGGCAATCCCTTTTACCTCTTGAAATGTGATCCCGAGGAGACAAAAAAAAATAGTATGTGTGTGGTTTATGAGAATGAAAAGGAGATAGGGGCAGAACTGCCTCTCGCTGAGAATGTGGACGGCACAATTGAAATGTAGGAAATGCTCTGCCCTTCCTTGTGTTTACGATAGAGACAGGAGAGACAGAAAAATAGTATGTGTGTGGTCGAATTTCTCACAGTGGCTTCCTGTATTAGTTTGAAGGTAACCTAGATGTTTGATATGCCTATATTTTTTTGAGTACCAATCACACCCCATGATCTCACCATTGATCTAATACAGGTCTGGCAGTTCATACTTGATATGCATTTGCAACAAGTTTCATATCAGGATTTCATCCTAACATCAACGTTCAGATTGTGAATGAAATTCAACTTTGAATTGTCAATTTCAATACCTAACTGATGTCAATTGAGATCTATTAGGTACACAATAAAGGCGATCGAAAGAAAAGAAAGAGTTAGAGAGACTTACCATTAGCATCCTCCATGTAGGATTTTAGCTAAAATGAGTTATTGTTAATGGATTTGATTAGAACAAAACATATAGATGATGAACGAAAGGTGAGTCGGCTTTAATGGATATAATTAGGTGATGGGTTTTAAGCACTCTAACACTCCTAAGGTGTGCATGCAACCCTAAATACCTTGGATCTATGTTTTCTCTATTATACAAGCAAACTTCAACTTTCCAAGGTATTACCCTAACTAGCATACAAAACCTTGCTACTTGGGTAATAAAACAAGTTAGAAGACATACCTTTTGTTGTAGTTGGAAGCCTTGGACCTTTAAGAACTTAGTGCCCCAAGTGTTGCACCTCAAATGAAATCACACAACACCACCAACAATGGAGGAACTTGAGAGGAGGTCACTTGCACTCATAAAATTGGCTAGCCCTCTTGTGTTTCCACTAGTCACCACTTAAGTGCCAATTTCATGAGCTAGAGGGGTTCTTATATAGTGCGGCAAACTAGGGTTACACCATGTAAACCCAAATAACTTTCCATATACCTCATGCTCCACGGGTTAAAACCTCCATGGAGTATCCATAGGTTACCACACGAGCTTAGCCCAACATGAAGAACTATGGATCATAAGCCCACTATATAAGAATGAATGATTTACCAAATCAACCCCTTATATTTAATTAGTCTCTTTTTGTAACATCCCAAAAATACGACCTAAACATTTTGTTTTTAAATAATAATAAAGGTCATAACACTGAATGTCATATAATATAACCATGCGTCGGGTATCTTAAAAGCCATAATAAAAATGTCATATCAAGAACTGTATCAAATCATATCTAAGTATCTGAACAAAACTCCCAGGAATAAAGTTGAAGCTGTGGTGTGTGCGATGCCATCAACCAGAGCCCTTCCCTTTACTTGTGGAAGTACCTGAAACCAAAACTAAAAGTGTAAGCACGAAGCTTAGTGAGCTCCCCCAAACTATCTCATACCATACAGCAACATATAAACACATACTGGGCCTTGCCCACTGCATCCGATCGAAGTCCGGAAACTGCATCGGACCGAAGTTCGGAACTAACCAGGGCCTTGCCCTTTGCATCGGACAGAAGTCCGGAAACTGCATTGGACCAAAGTCCGGAACTGACTGGGACCTTGTCCCCTGCATCGGACCGAAGTCCAGAATCTGTCTGAGCATAACATAGTATGGCATAAACACATCAACTAGCATGAACACATAAACTGCATAGTGCATCGGGCCGTAGCCTGGAACACATAACACATAAATCCTATCTGAGCCACGAAGGCATCAAACATACTAAAAAAAGCATCGGACTGAAGTCCGGAAACTACTACTAGCCGGCATTGTGGCCTTAGACCCGTTCCTACTGGAAGGAAACTCACCTCGTAAACTGGCTGGTAAATGAACCGCTCTGGAAACTGTCTGTTGCTGCTTCGGTATCTCCCTGGCCACAATTTCCATAACACACTGAATCAAATACTGATAATTATACTGAGGGTAAAATGACTATTTTACCCCTAGTCAAAGTCAACCCTATTGGTCAAAGTCAACATACAGTTGACCTGACTCGTCGAGTCCTTACCCTTACTCCTTTGCTTCTGCTCACTACTACTACTCGTCGAGTTTGGCATAGACTCGACGAGTTCCCCTTCAATGCTATCACTCAGTCAATCTGCACCCGACTCGCCTAGTTGTATGAACAACTCGTCGAGTCCTCTTTCAACGTATGAACACTCTGGGTGTGACTCGCCGAGTTGTATGAACAGCTCGCCGAGTCTGATCTAGAGATATGAAGACTGTCTTGGACTCGCGACTCGACTCGACGAGTCCAAAGAATGACTCGTCGAGTCGCATGCATGCAATTACTATTCAGATGATTCTACTCAAAACCAACGCATCCAACTGATAGATCTAAGCTCCTAAGGCCTGGTTTGCACGTAAAGGTTCCATCTTTACGTGCACATATAATCCTAAAGAGGTTTATAGGCTTACCATGCATGAATAAGGCTAGATCTAGGGTTTATATGCAACAAGGTTCAATAAAGGCATTAGATCTGAGCTTCTAGAGCTCATTTATGGATAGATCCAGTGACTATTCAACGCATTACGATCCCAATACTACTATCAATCTTGGAGGTGGATAAAGATGGCTTAAATGGGGTTTCTAATAGAAAATAAACATAGAAACAGAATAGATCCGAATTGTACCTCAATGACCTTTGGATCAAGTTCTAGATCCTTGCTTTTCTCCTTCTCCTTGGTCTTTCCTTCCTTCTCTTCTTCAAACTTCAAAGAACGAGCACACAAACACTCAAATCACAAGGAGACGGTTAGGGTTTGGTATAGGATGCTCTGAGGGTGAAGGAGACTAGCTTGGGGGCGCATAACATGGTTTAAATAGGGTGCAAACCCTTGAAATTAGGGTTTCTTCCAGACTTGCGGACTCGCCGAGTTCAGGATATGGACTCGTCGAGTCGCCCATTTACACGTGCTGGAAATCCCATCTCTACTCGATGAGTCGGGCAACAGACTCGTCGAGTCCCTCTTGAATACTTAGAAAAATAAACATTAAATAACATACCAGAAATGGGGTCGTTACAACTCTCCCCCACTTGTCTCAGACTTCGTCCTCGAAGTCTGTTGCTGCTGTTGCATCTACGAACAACTCTGGATAGTGCTCCCTCATTTCCTCCTCTGCCTCCCACGTCCACTCAGATCCCTTTCGGTGCTGCCACTGCACCTTTACTAACCGAACCACCTTGTTCCTCAAGGCTTTCGTCTTCCGATCCATGATCGCTATGGGTTTCTCAATATAATTCAGGCCACTATCAACCTGAATGTCCTCCAAGGGTAATACTGTTATCTCATCCACCAAGCACTTCGTCAACAAAGAAACATGGAAAGTGTTGTGGATATGACTGAGCTCTGCCGGAAGATCCAACTGATAAGCAACCCGTCCCACCCGGGCCAAAACCCTAAAAGGACCGATGAACCTGGGGCCCAACTTGCCCCTCTTCCGAAACCTGATAACACCCTTCCAGGGTGATACTCGTACCACCGGAACATCATCAACTATCGTCTTGCCCTTCTCCCGGGCATCCAAAACATAAGCAACATAACCGACACAACCCTGCTGAAAATAACGCATCGCTCTCACCGCTGTACACAGTATCGGTCCGCGTTGTGGCCTCTCGCCCTAAATCACCAACTCTCCCCCACTGGGAGTGCGAACTCTCACTAACTGCAGCTCACAATCTATCACCGCCCCATTGGGGCTCAGCCAATCCATGCCTACTATAACCTTATTCTCTCGTAGGGGAATAGGGACTAAGTCCACCGGAGACCGCTCATCGAATAACTGTAGAGAACATCCTCTGTGTACCCTTGCGACCATAACGGTCCTATCAGGTGCTATCTCAACCTCAAGTGGAAAATCTAGCTCTTCAGGAGCTCTATTGAACCTCTTGTTAAGTGCAAGAGAGACGAATGACCGGGTAGCCCCCGAATCAAACAATACTGTAGCTGAAATGCCGTTCACTAAGAACGACCC